CTACTTCACTGTCAGGGCGGCTAGGATCTGGAACCAACTTCCAAGAGAAGTGGTGCTGGCTCCTACCCTGGGGGTCTTTAAGAGGAAGTTGGATGAACATCTTGCTGGGGTCATTTGACCCCAGTACTTTTTCCTGCCATGGCAGGGGGTCGGACTGGATGATCTGCTCAGGTCCCTTCCCACCCTACCAGCTATGAAATGAGGGTCACGTCATGACCGTGGCCTCTACCCTGGTGGTGACATGGCCCTTATATCAGCTAACTGCAGAGACAGCTCGCGTTCACTTGGCGGAAGGCAGCTGCCCATGAGTCAGGCTGCAAGTCCCTCTTCTTGGTTTGCGGCACTCCCACTCATCTTAGTCATACTTGGCACCCGCTGACGGCCCCACAGCCTTGCTGCCGGCAGCTTGTAGCACCTGTTCGAGCTGGACGACCAGGGAAGGAGAAAGCAACAAAAAATGAAATGGTGGGTGGGGGGAGAAAGATAGGGCTTGGGGCTATGCATGAGGGGGCACAGGGCTGGGATGCCCATCAATCACCCCCACACTGAAAGGGCGGTAATTGCTACCCCATGGCTCCGGGACCAACATGACTGGTGGGCTCCAGCCATACTCTCTTTATACATTTGTCTCGCAGCCTCTTGTCCTTCTCTCTGCCCCAGTGAGAAGCAGCCAGACAGCTGCCATTCAGCAATTCGTGCCGTCTTTTGGTGGTAAGCCAGTCTGAAGGCCTTACCAGGCACGGTGGATTCCCTAGGACACGCGGCCAAAAGAAATCCTCCAGTGCACCCTGGATCGCTAGAAAAGAGTACGTGGGCCTAGGAGAGGCCAGATCACCAAGGGAGGTGAGAAGAGCAGGTGAGACCAACGCTGCAGACCTGCGATCAATAAAGGAGAGTGTAGGACAGGAGAAAGGTCAGGAACAGACTTTGTCATGACCAAGCAGCTCTCCCCAGCATATTCCCACCATAACACAGGACCAACTCCACGACTGTGGAAAGGCCATGACCGTCACCGTCCTCCTTTGCACGCTGACAGCAACTAGGAGCCCTAGTCCACACAC